ACACACACACACACACACACACACACACACACACACACACACACACACACTTAGGCTGCATGCTTTTTCTAATGATTTTTTTTCTTTTGAAGTCAAACTTTAATCTAGAGGAGAAGAACTTGAAATCAGAATTGACTGGTGCATGGTTCTACCAAAAGCAACATGAAAACCTTACAAGCCTCCTTATCTATCAGTTCCCCTTTTGAAACATTTATATTTTCCAAGCTTGGGGGGGGGGAGAAATCATTAATTTAGAAAGGGTGAGGATGATGATGGTGAACTGCCTCTCAGTATGCATACCCATTGTGAGACATAGAGGGTGTTTGGATCAACCTTCCAACCAATTCTTGACCAGGTTAACTGACCATCAAGTTTAATGGTTTGCTTAATCAGCATTTGTGGAATAAACCAGTGATTCACAAACTGCAATTATTTGCAACATAGCAGGTGATGCTCCGGCATGCAGTCTGAACAATTGGGCCAGCCTGTACCACATCTTTAGAAAACATTATAAAATCGTAATTCTTTGTTTGAGAAAAGAGGAAACAATAAAATCCCAGATGGGGGAGCACATTTACTTTCAATGTAATATAATGGGAAATGAAAGGAAATCATATTTGGCCTCGTTCCACACTATTTTTCAGAACAGGCCCAACTTGTTTTGGCAAGATCAGGAGCAATCCTAGTTCAGGGAATGTTTGTGGAACTGTGCTAAACAAAACCATAATCAAAAATTAAGAAGTGTCCTTCAGTCTTACCGTCATGATCACCAATGGGTGAGCCCTGCCAGTTTCCTTGGCAACTCAAGTGTTCATGTGTAATCCATGGGCAAATTTCATTCATGATTGAAAACATTTTGGCTGATAGCAGAGAGAGGTCAGGTCTCTATGTTCTATGTATGACAAAAGCACCATTTATTTTGTTCAATAAATGTGCAACTGATCAAATGGAAATTTCATACGTTCATTGGTGGTGATCAACCCTACTGAACTGAATGGAATCTATGTAAATAGCAATAGCAATAGCAGTTAGACTTATATACCGCTTCATAGGGCTTTCAGCCCTCTCTAAGCGGTTCAGAGTCAGCATATTGCCCCCAACAATCCGGGTCCTCTCCAGGATTGCAATATGGCTTGCACTAATAATTTTGGCATATTTTTTCTGGTATGGAAAAGCTGAGCAAGGTCATTTTTGATTAGTATTTATTATTTATTAGATTTTTATCCTGCCTTCATTACTTTAGAAGTAACTCAAAGCAGCAAACATGCCTAATACTCCTTTCTCTCCTGTTTTCCCCGCAACAACAATCCTGTGAGGTGGATTGGGCTAAGAAAAAGTAACTGGACTAAAGTCACCCAGCTGGTTTTTCATGCCTAAAGTGGGAATAGAACCCACAACCTCCTGGTTTTTAGGCCACCACCTTAACTACTACACCAAACTGGCTTGCTACTTGGATATAAATGACCAGGAAATCTTGGGGCTGTAATCTGTGGGTGGGGGAGTTGGCAGAGATGGGGACTAAAATGGAGAAAATGTCCTGGAAGAAGCTATGAATTATTATTGTATTGTTGTCAAAAAAAAACCCCATCATAGATGGTTCCATTAAATCACTGGATCTTGAAGAAGCTATTATTCATTTAACTCTCATTTGGTTGAGCTGGTTTCTGGACTCTAGTATCCAACTTAGCAGGAGCAACCACTAGAACTTTTCACTACCTAAATTGGCCAGTTCTCTGGACCCTGATACCCTTCCCTTTTCTTTTCTCCCCACCTCCTTTCAGTCCTGGACCACTTTTTCCTTCAAATATTTCTCATTGACCCCCCCCCCATTGGAATTTACACCGTCAGTCAGTCCCATTTTCTCTTTTCCATGCTGTCACCCTCATTTTTTGTCTTTCAGGAATTTCAAGAGAAATGTTAGCAAATTGGAGGGGGGGGGAGAAGAGCGAAAGTTCACCTCCCCTCCCTCTCAAAGAGGACTAGGACCCTAAACATTAAAACTGGGATTTGCAAAAACAAAAAACAAAAAAGTACGGAAGAGAGGCTAGACGAAGAAAATAACCAAAGCCTCTGCTTTGCAATTTGGAAGGAAGCAGATGTGGTAACCAGTGGGTTGCGAAGTGCTTCAATTTGTGAACCGCCCTAGAACAAAATGGCTAGGCAGCGACCTGAGGTAACCTGAGGGGAAAAGAGCCAAGCCCTCTTCCCGTCCCATTTGGGGAAACTTCCGTTTCCTAAACGATGCGGGTCTATTTTCTCGGGAAACACTTTCATTTTCCTTGAACAATTCTGGGAAAGATGGCCCTGCCACTGAAGGTTGCTCCCGCTGTCAGGGGAGCAGGCAGCGGATGGTCAAAAAGTCGGACGGTGGTAGAGGCGACAGCCTGATCGAAGTTGTTTTTTGAGGGGCGGAAACGCGGACGGTTTTGCCACATCCCGAGCACAGCTCTGTCCGTTGTGTTTCGCCTCTTCTTGCGACCATCTTTCCTCAGAGCCCCTTCTTGCGACCATCTTTCCCCAGAGTCGGGCTGTGGTGCCCGACACGATTGGCTCTCGGCTATTGACTTGTTTTAAAAGCACTGAGAACATCTGAACCCAGAGCAAAACGAAAGCCCTCCCCACTTCTGGCATCACTGTGCTGGATATCTCGCTTTTATTACAAAATAGAAGCAGAAATCTCTTTCCAAAGGCGTTTTTCACAGGATAGAAACAATACACAAAATTGGAGGGAGCCTGACTGTCTAAGGAACCGTCCTTGCATTTGGGGGTTGAGGGCGGCGGAGAGCCCGGAGAGAGACGGTCATCAGGCTCGGCTTGCTGTTTACCTTGCTTGGTTTGAAGGGCTGTCCTGGGGTCTGCCTGGGCTAGAAATCCAGGGCTGGCCTAAGACTGGATGATCAAGCACCTTGACGTAGGTTGGCCCCATAGGCTTCAAGGGGAAACACTATTAATAGGAGCATTAAAAATAATAAGCGATGGAGGCTCTCTCAAAGTTAAATGTGCAAAATGCTGTCCAGTGCCTCACCAGGAACTTCTGGGGGAAATCGCCCTTGTTCCCATGTTGCAGATGAAAGAACTGAGGCGGAAGATGTTTGTAAGTGTCAAGTAGCTGACCCAAGTTTCACCTTTGTGTAGCTACTGGATCAGATAGAGGCAAGATATCTGGCTTGAGTGATTTGTGGATGTTGCCTTGTCCTCCCCACCTAAATATTTGGGGTGGGTGGGGGTAGGGAAATATACAAGGCAAAAGGAGCCCATTTCCCTCTTCCCTTCAATCAGGGTTCATGTGCTTTGCATAGCATCAGCTTACAAGGGAGGGTCGTATTATCTGGAGGAGGTCATGCTTAGAAGCCAGCAGCTTTTTATAAACTGGTGGCTAATTACAGCGTTTGAATAGCTAGCATTGGCATATAGTACAATGATCATAAATGTTTTTTTCTCTTCAAATAAGTTAAGAGGTGTGGCTTCTCTGTTTATATCATTTATATCTCATTTGTCCCCGAAACCCTCAAAAGGAGCATATAGGATACTCCCACGTTATCCTCACAACAACCTTGCGAGGAAGGCTGGCTAAGAGTGTGTGACTGGCCCAAAGTTATCCAGTGCGCTTCATGCCTGGGTAAGGATCTGAACCTGACTCACCCTGTCCTAGTCCTCTACTCTAACCACTGCACCATGTTATACTCTTACTTTTCTCTATCAGGCCCTTTGATTCTGCCCTACAAGAAAAGGCATTTCATAAACTGTCCATAAGCTAGATGAATTCTCCAAAAAGGAAAGAGATTGGCTCTGGGATGAAAACAAAATGTTGCCCTATTACTCTGATCCCGGAAATAAGCAAACAATCCCATTCTTTGCAAGAGTCCCAATGGCTTCCTTACTTCCAAGTGCAGTACACTGTAAGCCTGGTGGAACCATCAATTTGTGAAGTAGCCTCTGCATCTGATGAAAGTAGCGTGGCCTCTCCGTGGCCCCCTCCAGATGTCACTGAGTTAGAAATCCCAGCAGCCTGCTCTCAGCCTGACTGGGAAGAAGCGTCTGCCTTGGACAGGAGTCTTTCATTAACATTTCTGCGATTACATGGACAAGTGATTACTGCCACAAGCAAGAAAAAATAAAAATGGATTTAAGGTTTAACAAATTCATGGCAGATAAAACTATCAGCGCTGCCCAGTTACTAAAGCCTCCCAGATTTAGAAGCAGTATACCATGGTTGGTGGTGGGAGCAACCATAGGGAAGAAGTATTGCTTCCCAATATCCTGCTGCAATTGATGGAGCTTTGGCTTCAGCCCTTCAGTTCTCAATAGCTTCGTGAATTGATCCCTGCAGATCAGGTTGAGGCACATTTACAGAGGCATGTTAAGAAGTTGAAATCCAACTGTGGGCCGGATCCCTCGTACAAGAGATTGTGTGGGCTGAGATTCCTGGCCTTCATTCTGTCAAAGGAACAGCTCTTACACCAACTTCCACCCCATCCCTCCTTCACTTCCTCCATCCTAAGTAATGTTTGTCCTCCACTTTTGAGTTTCACCACATCCTCTTAAGATTTAAGTCACTGGGCAGCTTACAACGTTTCTGAATTTACAGTATGCTCCAGATAAGGTAACAGTCAGCTGCTCGGCAATTGATCCAAAGTGAAACAACGGATCCATTTTATAGATCCTTCCAAGGTTTCAGATCCTTGGTTTGTGGAGCAGAGGAATTAAGTAGGGGGGGGGGAAGGGGGGAAAATAAGAAGAGGACAACCCAGATGGAGAGAGCCTGAGTTCAGAGAGCATGGTAAGTTTAGCAAATATTTTTAAGAGCCGAGATCGACCAGATTTGATGACATGGAGTTGAGGATGGAGTCTTGCAAACTGTGATGATGCAGAGGGTCCGCGCTGGGAACTGGAATGGCACTAGGACCCTGAGGATGGCCCAAGCTGTGGAGAGGCTGTAAGCCTGGGTTTGAATTGAGAAGTAAGGCAGGGCTGGAGGAGGAATGATGGTCCGGGGTGCCAGAAGGAGTTTTCTCATCTTCGGAACTGCCCAAAACTGTCTTATTGCCATTGAGAGAGGAAGAAAGTTGATTGTGGCCATTGGAACTGGAATTTTCATTGTTTTCCCTAAAAGGGGGGGGGATGGGAGAAAAAACAAGGGAGAGAGAAACATCAGATTGCAAAAGGATACAACACCACAACCCTCTCTCATGCCCGTCCTTAATAAAAGTAAAAGCTGCTGAAATACTATGTTGTGGGGGGGGGGGGAGACACCATTTGCCCATGGACAGGATATTAGGGGCACAGAATATAATACACAGATCATCCTGAAACCAGATATGGTTTCTTTTCTTCCACCCCACCTGCAAATAGCACTGTAATAGACTACTTAAAAAAAACCTTTCAAATAATTTATGTACAAGAATAACTTCATTTTGTACATTTGTTTGTAAGTTGGTTGTTTTTTTTAAAAATGACACACACCCTCCCAACCAAAAAAGATAGGAGCTCCAGTTGTCATAGTTGTCTCTTGAAGCAACTATGGAGAATATAATGTTTCAGGTACAAATCACTGACATCTTTTTGTGGGGCCATATATCTTTAAATGCTTTTTCCCAAATTAAGTCAATAGGAAACAATATGGGGTGTAGGATAAATAGGAAAGGAAGTAGGTTACATTTCCCATAAACAACTTTGAGATTTGACCTAAGCATTCAAATGACCCTAGCCAGAAACAACAGCATGAGGGAAATTGTAGAATTTGTATCAGCTGTGAATGATGGGAATTATAGTGGAGGACTGGAAGAGCTAAACTATGCCATAGCTGGGTTTATATGCTGTGCCAAATCTTTGTTTGTATTAACCATAGTTTATTGAATAAACTACATTTGCTTAGTTCACACAATAACTAAAACATATAAACTACATTTTAACATCACAAATGTTAGATTCACACAGCCAGAACAAATTACATTATTGGTGCTAGGTATCAACTAGACTGGCGGCAGAATTATATTTCACTTTATACCATCATTCTAATTTTTCTTTATTGAACATGCCATATAAAAGTTCACATACACTTCTAAACCATGGTTCATTTCACTCAACATACTAAGCCAAAACCAAACAAACCTCAGTATGCCTCAGTATGTGTGAACCCAGTCACTCTTAGTTAGGTGTCACTATTTTTAAAGAATTATGAAACTAGCCCACCAAACCTAAATAATAAACAATCTCCTAAAAAGATTAATAACATTTTTATTTTAATAGGCATATGTCTAGGCTCTGCATTTCTTTGAGCTCAAGGTCTGTTTGGCATGGCACCCACAAGCTGCTTCCCTCTCATGATGAAACTCTTGGGAAATTAGCTAGCTTTAGATATTGCTGTCTAGATTTAAATCTTGTTCTTCACCTTTGGCAGCCATGCCAGTCAAGTGCTTTATCTGGATGATGACTACCATGGACCCTGGTTTGTGGATCCCCCTGCTCCCTTCCCCCATATCTGCCAAGCAAGTGTCTCTGAGGACATATGGCTTCCACCCATAGACTTTGAGCCCCTCTCCCTCACACTCAATCCAGCATGTATACCCATGGGTAAGGGGGGAAATAAAATACTCCTTATTACTTGGGCTACAAGGGAAAACTGGCAGAACTGTTATCCATTTACCTGGTTTGGTTTTTTTTTTAAAAGGCTTGCCATCAGTGAACCTGACAAAAAGAAAAAAGGCTGTTCTTTCACCAATCTGCCAGTGTGTTTGTTAATAAAGCTATTGTTTTTCACTGGTTCATGTGGAGAAGTTCATTCAGAAGTGAGCAGGCAGTCCAGTGGCCCACAACAAAATGTCTGTGGTGGGCCATCACCAATCATTGGAGAGGAAGGGACATCCAGTGGCAGCGTAAGGCTCACTGGTGCCCTAAGCACTGACAAATCTTGGCGCCCCCTTCCTTTGTACATACTGTACAAATCTTCATTGGTTTTTTCTTCTTCTCAACTTTGTGGTGTCCCTTTTGGGCCTGGTGCCCTAAGCAGGTGCTTAGTCTAGTTAATGGTTAATACACCACTGGGGACATCCCCATCACAGGAGGTAAACAGGAAATTAAATGCAGCAGGGAGATATGTAAGCATCGCTTGGCCCAGCAAAAGGCACTTACTTTTGAGATGGAAGATTGTCTTCATACGGGCTGACCATAGACAAGTTCATGAGCCTTAATTCTAACGTCCCACAGTAAAAGTGAAGACACAGAACTAGGCCAAGATGGGCCTGAGATCCTGTGGACAGCTACCTGAAAATAAGTACAGGTAGTCCTCAACTTACAGCAGTTCATTTAGTGACCATTCAAAGTTACAACAGCACTGGGGGGGAAAGTGACGTATGTCCTTCTTTCATGCTTACAACCATTGCAGCATCCCCATGGTCACATGATCAAAACTCAGGTACTTGGCAATTGACTCATTTTTATGATGGTTATCCGGGATCATCTTCTGTAACCTTCTGACAAGCAAAGTCAATTGGGAAACTGATTTACCTGATAACCATGTTAACTTAACTGCAGTGATTCACTTAACAACTGTGGCAAGATCGGTTATAAAACGGAGCAAAACTCACTTTGCAAATGTCTCACTTAGCAATGGACTACCTGTACCACTGAGAATATTTACTCTGGGAGTCGTAAATCATATTCACAACTGTACCAAAGGGATTGAGAATGCAAAACAAAAAACAAACTGTACTAATGATAATCACCAAGCGATTCACACCCAACTTAGAGCAGAGTAGTGAATATTTCATTAGGTTGGCAGTCACTCCCAGACCCAGGGGCATTTATATAAGACATTAATCTCCCAGAGCCTAAATTCTAGGAGCAAGGCTCTAACGCTGCTGGAAAACATTAGGTAATTAAGATGCCGCGGGGTTAATTTGCCTTATTCAAATATATGGAGTAGGCCATTGCAGGGATAAATCATAACGCTTTGTATCATAAAGCTCACTCCTCTTGCAGACCCACACTGATCCTCACCAGCTTTCGCGGTTATCTAAGATCTGCACCACTCCCTAACGCCACTTATATTGAAAGTGTTCTTTCCACGCTGATTTCCGGCATGGCATCCTTTGCGCATGCTCATTTCCAACAATGAATGCCCGGTCCTGAAGCCGCGCTGGAAATGGGCTCCCGCCGACTTCCGTAATTCGTTCCTTTGCTCGTTTTCAGTTCTTCCAAATTTGCGGCGGCCTCTGAAAAGCCGGGCGGACGCCGATTCTCGATACGGGTCTAAAGAAGTAGCTTTTGCACGCACTTAGGAAAGGCCTGAAGTGCAAAAAAATAAATAAATGCCCAGCTTCCTTTTCCTGGATATGTTTTATATTTGATGCAATCCCAAGACGCCAACAGCCTTCGGCTTTAAGTTGCTTAAGTGGAGGATGGCAATGTGACAAATGTGATTTGCTGCGATCTAGCTGTTTGTTTTAAGGAAGAATGGGGCAAAATTTGCGGCGGGAAAGAATCAAAATTGGATTTACCCCAGGGGTCTCTAACCTTGGCAACTTTAAGACTTGTGGACTTCAACTCCCAGAATTCCTCAGGCAGCTTTGCTGGAGTTGAAGTCCACAAGTCTTACTGTTGCCAAGGTTGGAGACCCCTGGTTTACACAACTTGCGCCTGCAGTTCTTCGGGCCCTCTTTGGGGGACGTCTTGTAAACAGTTTGACCTAGGAGAGAGTATGCGGCAAAATAAAGCAACTTCTTTCTTTTACCAAGGCCAGCAAAATCAAAGCCAGGAGGAAACGAGGGAGGAAAAGCCGGACGGAGGGCGGTTGGTAGGTGAATTAGGCCTGATGCACCCCTGGAAGGGAAGTCGCCACCTCTTTGGCGATTGCCCCGGAGGGCTTCAAGTTTGCAGAGAGGCGCGCCAGATGAAGCCACCGGGGGATTTCTTTTTCGATTTAACTCCGCCATTCTTAAAAAGAGGACCGGCGAGGTCCAGTTTTTGGATCCGAACATCAGCGGTGACCAAGCTTGCTATGTCAATATACATACATACATACATACATACATACATACATACATACATACATACATACATACATACATACATACATACATACATACATACATACATTTGTTTTCGTAGATTTTCACAGGTGTAGGTGTGTGGTGTGTGTGTGTATGTATGTATGAATGTATATTGTCGAGAAACAATCAAGTTCTAGATCACTTTGCTCAAAGGACCCTCACCGAATAACACCCTTTAACGCGAGTGTGAACAGGCTGCAGTTAGAGTTGTCCTCGACCAAGTGGCTCCCTTGTAAAGTTAGTCACGGTTCGCTGACTCAAATCCATTCTCTGGGTTCATCCCACACATTAAATAAAAAACTCATCAGATCATCCGGGTCCGGCTAAGGTGGGATTCACTGGGTTGGGAGCTCAGAGCCTTGTCTAGTCTAGATGGTTTGTGTCCCGTTTTGTAGGACTCAAGTTTTAGATAGGCGAGAACTTGTTTCCTGAAATGCATGAAATATTCGCTTCGCTACGACTGCTACGCCTTCTATCAAGCAAATTCTGATGACTTAAATCTTCCACCACCATAACATACTTAATATTTCAGGTGCCACAAACCTTTGAAAAAAGCAGAGCAGGATGTCTTTAGAACCGGAGAGGGATAAAAAATCAAAACAAAGCGGGAGGAAAGAAGGGATAAACACACAGCTACTGAAACTTTTCGGTTCAGCTGGAAATCATTAGTTCCAGCCAATAACGGGCAGCTCCCCAGAAAGCCTACTGGCCCAAACTTAAAATCCGATAGAAAAGACCACAGAAAACACCTTTTCTCGGAATAGCCTTCCCGCTCCAGTTCATGAGATGCTGATAGATTCCCTCGAGGAGAGGCTTCTTTCTTTGGAAAAAAAAAATGTACTTCAGATTTTGAAGACAATGTCTTTAGTTAAGCTGACTGAGGCTGATTTTGAACAACAAAAAAGGAGATGGCAAAATTCAGCCCCTTGGAGGTCTATCTGTATGGCTGTTGATCTCAAAGGCGACCGATGGCGATTCCTGGGTATGACGCCTCCGTAAAAAGTTTTTCCCAACGTATGAAGACCTTGCCTTCTCTTTAAACCCGAAGAATCTCGT